TCTCTCTCTCTCTTTGCCATTAGCTGTGAAACACTCGCAGAGAGATCTCATCATAATTTGTGTGTCCACTAACTCTAAAGACATTATCATTTCATTGCATTTAATTTAATCAATAGATATATGAGATGTGATATATCTTTGCGTATAATGTACTGTACACTATACTATAAACAGTAGTGTACCCTCTCTGTACAAAAACATAAATAAAATTTATTAATAACAGTAAATCTAACATGGTTATCCCAAAAAGTAGTATTTTTTAATGAAAATAATCTTTTTGTTTACTCATTTTGACAATTGTTTTCTATTTGAGAAATTGTTTGGAAATAAAAAACAACTTTTTTGTGTTGTTTTATTTTTCTCGTTTTCAGTCAAGTATTAAAAACAATAAAACAAATTAATTGATCCGCAAATGTATGGCTTACTCTCTCGTGAGAGCAAATGAGTGAGCGATCGCTAGAGAGAGAGAGAATCTCTCTCTCTCTCTCTCTCTCTCTCTCTCTCTTAACCATTTTCTCGGCAAATGATTGTCACATAAAAATTAACGTCAATTATAATAATGCAATCGATTTAACACATCATAAGAGAGGACTTAATATAACAGTAAATATACTGTATATGAAAGAGATTGAGAGAAATATGGATAACTTTTATATCACAAAATCCATACTTAAGTTAGTAATTATAAAATTAGATAAAAGTTTGTATTGTATTTGAGTGAGAAGTTTGTGATAAAAATCAGGAAAATAACGGGAAATGTCTGTAATTTATAGCAAGAATTATATCTCAAATGTAATATAAAAAATATTTAATTGTTTTTGGTTTTTTTAATTCATGCACTCATTAAGCTTTTTGAATAACTTTTGTTAGTTATATAATTCATAAGAAATCCTAGATTTAAAACAAAGTTTTAATATTATGTAAGTTTCATCATATCCTGTGTATTATTAATCCTATTTTAATTACCTTTCTAATTAACAACTGAATTTTACTCATAAGTATGGTGGCAAAAGTTAACTTCTAACTATATGGTATTAAATTAAAATTATAGTTTAATGAATCTATACACATTATTTTATAAACAATTATTTTCAATTTTTATTCATTAATAATAATATATAATCAATAATAAAACAATCATTTTTATTTACCATATAATAAAAAGCCCTTCAATTAATCAAAACATTTATACAATAATAATTATAATTAATTAATTTACAATTCAATCATCATCACGTTTACCCTCATTTTGATCTTGAACATTCAATTATAACCACAAATGAATGCCAATAATCTATATAAATTTAAATCTGTATATTCAAGAATATATATAAATTCAGATTCATGTGACTTTTATTTATTATTTATGTACACAATCAAAAAAATTACCATCACTTAAAACAATCAAAACAAATATTTAAAAAACAAATTATTTGGCTCTATCAAAAATCTCTCATGCAGCAAATTATCATGATTTATACCATAATTTAATTTATTATTACATACATTATATTCATATACAGTATATATCATATAAAATCCATATCTCTTTATACAATATAAATTTCTACAGACATTCATCTGATCTGATAGTCATAATCGTAATCAAAATTATCGACTCTCGTCGTCGCCGGGGTTTGACTGTAGCTATAGTGACGTAGCCGTGGATTCGTGCCGTGCCTGACGGCCACCAACGGTTGCGGCTCGTGGTATACGAGCAGATCGGGAGGCGGGGGCGCCGGCCGAGGGGGCGGTATATTATAATGTATACGATTATCGTGTTTAGGTTGAGTGCTATAATGATGTGGTCTCTCATAGAAATGATGGGCCGGACTGTCCTCCCGCTCGTCGTCGCCCTCCCGGAGCCCATCCGGCGATGAGCTCATAGGTGTAGGCGATTCGCACTCGTCGTCATCGGAGGGCATATCGTCCGAGCGGTAGCCGTCCGACGGGCACAGTAGGGGTGACTCGCCGTCAGCCCCCGGTTGGCACAGTTGTACGCATTGGGACATCGATGTGGAGATTAGGGGCGATTTTTGTGGGGTATATATGTTAACGCCGAGGCCTCCACTTATGAGTTTGCGATGATTAGTACCATGATGGTAGTCCATTTCGCCGATGGATAGGGCTGTGCACCTCCCGTTTCGCCTAGGTGATGTTAAATAATGTTTTATTTTTAACTATGTTTTTATTGATATAACTTGTGGTAAACTCGACTTTTATGTTACTTTAATGTTATAAATAGCCGATAGGCTGTACTGTATGTATGGCATAGGTTTGGTATATTCAAGTGAATTAGAAGTGATATAAGTTAATGTGGATTCTAATGATAAATGATCTAGATAGGATTTTATTTGAAACTAGGCCAGCTTAATGAATTTTATATTACAGTAGCCATGGTATACAATAATTACCAAAGCGGTTTATAGTACTAACATGGTCATAATGATTGTATTGGTAAACACACATCGATATGCAAACACGTTAAATCTAAAACAATCCATTATGCTCGGGTAGAAAATCAATCAATTATAATAGGGTTTTATAGTTAATAGTACGGAATCTATTGAAAAATACATTATATTTTTGTCACAAAATAAACAAAAACTAGAAAATCTTTCTCTAAAAAGGCATTTTTTTGCTGTAAAACTAGTGAATAAATTGATTATATTTTTTTCTCTCAGTGTTTGTGTTGTTTATGTGCCGTAAATCCCTCTCTCAAAAGCGTTTCAAAACATTTTTAATGATTTATTAATGGATAGGGATTTGAGAAATAGTGTACACAAAACACACACACATATACAATATATACGAGAGTACACTATAGTCTTATACACTATACCCTACATTAACTTTCCTATGAAAAGAAAATACAACTAAAACTTTTTATATATCTGGAGAGAGAGAGAGAGAGAGAGAGAGAGAGATCGATGTACGAGAGAGAGAGAGAGAGAGAGGGGGGGGGAGAGACTTAGAATTACAGGAAATTCTGTAACAGAATATTCTGGCGCTGAGAATGAAATGAATGGATGGACTGGTCTTTTACACATTGAAAGGCAATGCAGTCGTCGTCTCTACTTATAAAGGAAATGGCAATAAATAATTAGAGACCATAAGTCACATACAGTGTGTGGTGTTTAGACGACACATACAGCACAGGCAAATAATGCACTGGTAGGTGAAATAGGCATGTATACAATATATCAAGTGTATAAACCAGAATTACATACATCGATCTCTCATCCAAAATCGGCAACTGATTAATTAAGGCAAACGACGCCGACTTCTGCCTCCCGGAGCCGCCGCCGTCGCGACTGTGCACTGAACTGATGGTACTATTAGTGGTGCCGGAAAAGCGTTGGAAAGCCTGCGTGGAGACCATCGGGCCGTTAAAACCGGCGGCGAGACCACCGTTGAGGCCACCATTGGAGCCGTCCAGCGGTCGGTGACCACCGTTCAGACCGTTGAGACCGTGTGGGTTGAGGTGACCTTTCAGGCGGCGCCGGCGGGCGGCGCACACGACGATCACCACAACACTGGACGCCAGTAGGAAGACAACGGCGCCGGCACTCGCGGCCACTATCAGTAGATTCTCGTCGGCCAACAGTGTCTGTACCCATCCGGACGGTGCTATACATACACGTCATAGGGGAGTAATTATACATACATTTATATTAAAATTAATTATAAAGATAGGCAGTATATGAAGGGAGTGGTGTTTATGTAGGTAAAGGGGACTAAGGGGGTACAATACTATATACATAGGGCGAACAGTTGTGTTTTTTTACTATATTGCAACATAACTGCGTTTTTGGGTTTATTTGAAAAGCGGAAGTAATTACTAAAAATTATAAGAAAATCTGTAAGGAGTCGAATGATATACTTCATATGGCCAGACGATCTCTTGTTTGATTGCAGTGACCACTTTTATTTAAAAAAAATTTAAAACAAAATATTGTATTTTTTGTATAACTATATCATATAATATATCAATAGAAAGGTATGAATTAAAGAAGTAGAATTCCGAAGAAATTTCTCAATTCAAACGCAATCAAAAAGTGTTACATAAGAA